TCCTCCCTAAACTCAGGCTCTCAAGTAGCTGGGACTACAGGTGTACACCAATATTCCCAGCTAATATTTTAATTTTATTTAGTTTTGTTTTTTGAGACAGACTCTCATTCTGTCTCTTGGGCTAGAGTATACTGGTGTCATTAGGAGGAGTTTGAAGTTGCAGTGAGCTATAATGACACTACAGCACTCTAGATGGAGTGACAGAGTGATACTTGTCTCAAAAACTAAAAAAAGAAGAAGAATATATACACTTCCATCAAGATGGTAAATTGAACATATGAGATCAGACAATTAAGTTCAAGAATTCATCTTAGAAAAGTGCTATATACCTTATTGCTAAATATTACTACAGTCACCAGATGGCCAAAGGGAATACTTTGAACCTAACCATAATTGATATTCAGCAATGAGATACTTAGACTTTCTCTGAGTTCATGAACTAACTGTCAACTTCACTTGCATATTGATTTCTTTCTTTCCCTTTCCCAAATTCCAATTAAAACTGCAACAATGGAAGAAGGAGGGTGCAAAGATCAATGAAATCATGTGAAAAAGACACAAGTCACTTTGAGAGCCTTGTTTTGGCCAAATTTGCAATAATTTTTTTAATTAATTTTTTTTTTTTTTGAGACAGATTCTCACTCTGTAGCCCTGGCTGTGGCATTAGCCTAGCCCACAGCAACCTCAGACTCCTGGGTTGGAGCCATCCTCCTGCTTTAGCCTCCAGAGTAGCTGGGACTATAGCCACCCACCACAATGCCTGGCTAATTTTTCCTATTTTTAGTAGAGATAGGATCTCGCTCTTGCTTAGGCTGGTCTCAAACTCCTGAGCTCAAACAATCCTCCCACAGTCCTAGGATTATAGACACGAGCCACCTCGCCCAGTCTAATTTATTTGATTTTTAGAGACAGAGTCTCATTCTGTGGCCCAAGCTGTAGTGCAGTGGCATGATCATAGATCATTGCAGCCACAAACTCCTGGGCTTATACCTACCTGAGCTTCCTGAGTATAAGGGATTACAGGTGTGAACCACCGACGCCAGCAAATTTTAGATGATTTGAACATAAAATCAAGTGAAATGTCTGGGAAGAGGGTTTTATACAAAGACAAAGTATCACCCCTTAGGTTACCTAATCTTCAGAAAAAGTAAAAAGATACCTTTTCAGGGCGGTGCCTATAGCTCAGTGAGTAGGGCGCTGGCCAAATTACACGGAGGCTGGTGGGTTCGAACCCAGCCTGGGCTAGCTAAAACAACAATGACAACTGCAACAACAACAACAACAACACAAATAGCCAGGCATTATGGCGGGCACCTATAGTCCCAGTTACTTAGGAGGAAGAGAATCCCTTAAGCCCAAGAGTTTGAGATTGCTATAAGCTGTGATGTCATGATGTCATAGCACTCTACCCAGGGCTACAACTTGAGATTCTGTCTCAAAAAAAAAAAAAGTCTGGCAGGCACTACCTTAACTGCAAGTTCAAATTTAGCATCACTGCTAAGTCAGTCTGAGATTTTTGTGCCACATGATGTGATGCAAGATTAAGTATACATGGCATCACCTACGAACTCTGGCTAAAGATGTTGAATTTGAGTCCAGTCAAACTTCTAGGCATACTAAAATTTCCAGTTTATAGAAAATACTGCAGATAGAGGAACAAGTAAATAATACAGAAGAAATCACTCCAGAATAAGGGATATTCTACAAAGTCACTCTTTAGAAAGTCAGTTTCAAGTTCCAGCTTCTCAGGAGGTTGAGGCAAGTGAATGGCTTGAGCCCAGGAGTTTGAGGTTGCTGTACGCTTGACACCATAGCACTCTCCCCCGGGCGACAGAGAATCTGTCTCAAAAAAGAAAAAATCAGTTTCACTTAAAAATAAAGTGGAAAGGCTCGGCGCCTGTGGCTCAAGCGGCTAAGGCGCCAGCCACATACACCTGAGCTGGAGGATTCGAATCCAGCCCGGACCTGCCAAACAACAATGATGACTGCAACCAAAAAAAAATAGCCAGGCACTGTGGCGGGCGCCTGTAGTCCCAGCTACTTGGGAGGCAGAGGCAGGAGACTCGCTTGAACCCAGGAGTTGGAGGTTGCTGTGAGCTGT